AAGTTTTTAAAAAACATTTAAAAAAAAAAACTGTTACCTGCAGGGCCATTTGCAAGATGAGCAAATCAGACATTTCTATTTTCTGATCGCCTAAGGCTGATGGAATTGTTTCAAAGAATTCTTGACCAGGGAAAATCGGGAATATGTCATAAATAAAAGTAAATAAATAAAATAAAAAGTAGAAGTATTCGACATTTCTTCACACAATAGAATGCTAAAATAAATTGACAGGCATATTTGAAGCTAAAAAATTCCTTTAAAACATATTATTGCCAGGGGTGGTGGTCATGCCTTTAATCTCTGCACTTGGGAGACAGAGGAAGGAGAACCTTTTTAAGTGCAAGGCCAGACTGTTCTACTTAGCCAAGGATACATTGTGACTCTTGTCTCATAAAGATAGAAAAGAAAATTATAAAAATAGAAACATGTTATTTAAGACCACAAATTACAAAGGGAATGTTATTGGCACACAAAAGTAAAAATGTTACAAAATGTCATTAACTTAATTTTGCTATAAATAATTCAAATATCAACTGTCAATAGTGAAATTACAGGTGAGTTTATTTCTTTTCCACATTTTGTAGAGTGAACATATGTTACTCATGTATATCTTCCTTTAAACATTAATAAACTGGACTCTATACATAAACAAAAGGCGCTAAATTATGGAATGACAAACTCTTACTTCACATTCTGGCTTAAAGCTTCCTTTGTTATTGAAGATTAGATCTAGGCATGCCAGGCAAACATTCTACCAGCTGAGGTCTATCTTTGCCCTGACTGCCTTTTTCATTCCATGACTCGTGACGGCAGGTGTGAGTGCGTGGATACAGGAACACAACAGTAAAGAGTATGCACAACATCCTGAAATGCTCATCAGTCCACTCTCCCCATCTGCACATGCACCATAGCCTTCTAAAGGAGCTCTATAAGCTTTGACAGACAGCAAGTTGAGAAACACAACTTGCTGTTATTCATTTAATACTGAATGAGGACACATGTTCCCATTATATACGACCAACAGCCTCTTGTAATCTTAATTATATTTAGAAAAAACAGTCTTCCAGCCATGTTAAAGCTCGTTAGAGGAAAATTTCATTATCCTCCTTAGTGAGAGGCATGATGGCTTAATTGTAAATTATAAGGCTCCTTTAAAGAACACAGAACAACTGGGATCACACACTCCCTGAATGCAGTAGCCCTTCACCTTCAGATATGCCTTCCAGATTATCACTGCAGAGGGAAAAGCGCAAGGTTTTGTCAGGTTTACCGTGGAGTTTGTTTTCATCAACAGGGACATCTCCTTGTCCTCCATCTGAGAGCTGCATGTTTAGGACCTGAAAAAAAAAATAAAAATAGAATATAATTTTTGGTTTATCATAAATGAAAGACTACTGACAATAAAATAAATAAACCACAAGTGCATATTTCCATTCTTCTTAACTATTTCTAACTAAAAGCCTGTTTGCGAGGCCCACCCAGCTTTCACACGGAACCCAGAACAAAGTCCATATTCGAAGGCAACTCCAGCTATGTCTTCCACTGTTCATCAGGGTCAGCAACTGACAGTCACACAGGGAAGCAGTAGGGAGGCACAGGCGTCAGAAGACTTCAGCATTCTGTTCTGTCAGCTTGAGCTTAGTGTTCAGCCAAGGATCTGGAAGGTCTCATTGTGTTTTGTGTGCCCCAGGCTGGCCCTTGCCCCTGCCTCTATCTCCTGAGTGCTGGAATTACACATGTAAGCCACCACATCTGGACGTATGAGCTGTGACTTTCCAAGCTAGCAATGAACTTTCTTGAAAAACAAGCCATCATTTATTGAATGTAAGTTGTTGCTTCTAAGCCAGTAAGATCAACAGGTAAGAAAGATACTTCCCTTTAAGCCAGATGACCTGAGATCAATCTCCAATAGCCAAAATATATAGAGTATGTGTACACACACAAGCACACGCATACACACATGCCTACAATAGCAGTTTGTCTCTAACTCTAAACTCTTTTAACAAATTCTTAAAACTCATTGTCGCCAATGCTTACTTCCCCTCCCCATTCCTTCCTTCTCTTTCTTTCTCTTGCTCTCTCTCTTTTTTAATTTGATGAGACATGGTCTTATTACTTAGGGTGCCTTGGAAGCCTATGCTGACAGACTAGGCTTACCCTAAGCATGTATTCTTCCTGCCTCTTCCTCCCAACGGCTATAATTTATAGGTGAGGGTCACTATGCCCAACTCCACAGTCTCTCTTTCTCTTTTTTTTTTCATTTTAAGTTTTTTAAAAAAATTAAATCATGTGCATGTTGGGGAGGGTACATGTGTGAGTGCAGGGTGCCTGGAAGGTCCTGAAGAACTTATTAGATTCCCTGGAGCTACAGTTACAGTGAGCAACCTTATGTGGATGCTTGGTCCTCTATAAGAAACACTATGCCATCAGAGCCCCCTAATCTCATTTTTTTTTTTTCCACTTTGGGCTCAGTGGTTAAGAGCACTTGTTCTTTCAGAGGACCTGCGTTTGAGTCCTAACACCTACATAATGGCGCACAACCATCTGTAATTCCAGATTCAGGGGACATAATGGGCCCCCCTGGTCACTGGAAATGCATGTAGTCACAAATGTAGGAAGGCAAAACACTCACATACATAAAAAAAAAAAGTAATCTTTAAAAAATTTTTATTTCCCTAATTTTTTATTTATCTCTTCCATTTTTCCCCTAACCACACAATAGAAAGCACGTTAGGAATTTTGAACTCTGAACACAAACCCTACCTCTCTACTAGCCTAAGAAAATAAAGCTTTCCCTACAAATCGCTAGAAGTCTTCCCAAACTTCTGCACCACAATGCCATGGCTTTCCCTCCTGTGCCACTAGAACAAGCCCTTTTGGTTTTGGTGTGTTCACCAACTTCAGTGCCATGGTCGCCCTCCTCCACTGTTCACAGGGGCTTAGAATGTGTGGACAGTAAACTTTAGAAAATAATGAATGCATTGTCAGGAATGGAGATACAACTCAGTTTTAGTGTTTTTTCTCGTGTGTTATTTTTTTTTTTTTTTCTTTTTCCTTTTTTTTTTTTTCATATATTTTCTTTTCTCTTTTTTATATATTTTTTTCATATTTTCATATTTTGGGGGTGTGGTTTTTGTTTTTGTTTATTTTTTTTTTTTTTTTTTTTATATTTTTTTGTGTGTTTAAAAATATAATATTTTTTCATATTTTTGATATTTTTATTTTTTTTTTTTTTCTTATAGTTTTTTTTAGAGATAAATATTTTTTTTTATATAATTTTATATTGTGTTTAATATATATAATATTATTTTTTTTATTTTTTTTATTTTTTTGTTGTTATTTTTTTTTTAGTGTTTTTTTTTTTATAGTTTTTTCATTTGTTTTTTGTTTTTTTCACTCTTTTCATTTTCTTTTTTCCCTCATTTGTTTTTTTGAGTGGGTTTTATTTTTTTTATTTTTTTAGTTTACTTTATATTTTTTTTTTTTTTTTTTTTCTTTTCCTTATTATTTTTTTTAAAAAAAAAAAATCTGTTATTTGCAAACCACTAGCATTTTTAAAATTTATTTTATATATTTTTTATGTATTAAAAACCTCTATGTTGCATGCAGTGGCATATACCTACAATCCCAGCACTTGAGAATTAGAGGCAGAAGACCAGAGTTCAAGCCAGTTATGATTACATGAGACTCATTATCAAAACCCAAATAAAACAAAGTGCCAAGCAGTGGTGACGCACACCTTTAATCCCAGCACTAGGGAGGCAGAGGCAAAGGATGGTGAATCTCTGAGAAACCTTATCCTGAAAAACAAAACAAAAAAATAACCCATTCAGGGGCTGGAGAGATGGCTCAGAGGTTAAGAGCATTGCTCTTCTAGAGGTCCTGAGTTCAATTCTCAGCAACCACATGGTGGCTCACAACCATCTGTAATGAGATCTGGTTCCCTCTTCTGGCCTGAAGGCATACATGGAAGGAATGTTGTATACATAATAAATAAATAAACCTTTTAAAAAAAAAAATAACCCATTCGTACCTCATTTTCTGACATCATCCCTGGAGTAAGTTGGGGACCTGTCCCTAAGGAAATGACCAGCACTTCTTCTGGTTGTACCTCCTGGATGGTTTCTTGAGATGACCCTTCATGGTCCATATGTAAGTCCATTAGCATATTACTTCGGCTTCTGCTCCGAGTTGCTAAATAAAATAATTTAAAAGAAAAGGTCAAAATAAAGAAAATGGCACATGAATACAAAAATATATTTTCTCTTAGTGTTGAACATTCATGCATGCATAAAGGATGATGTTTAAAACATGGACAGGAAAAAACAAGCACTGGGTCCTTCTAGTCACTCTCCTGAGACTAACACAGATTCTCCTTCACAACTGACCAGTAGAGGGCTGGAGAGATGGCTCAGCGGTTAAGGGAACTGGCTGATCTTGCAGCGGACCTGGATTCAATTCCCAGCACCCACATACCAGCTTATAATTGTTTTAAGCTCCAGACGCAGGGAATCTGACATCCTCTTCTGGTTATCGCAGGTACCATACATGCACTTGTTGCATAGACAAACATGCATCCAGGCAAAACACTTATACATATAATTTAAAAAAAAATGTTTTTAAGCAACGGATCATCAGAAATAGTGTTCCACCTCCACTGGACAGAAAGGCTGCACATGGTCATAGTTGTGGTACAGGAAACACACCCTAGCCAAAAAAAGCACTAACCTCTGGGCAGTAGTGGCATACACCTTTAATCCCAGCACTCGGAAGGCAGAGGCAGATTTATCTCTGAGTTAGAGGCCAGCCTGGTCCACACAAGAGCAAGTTCTAGGACAGGCTCCAAAGTTACAGAAAACCCATCTTAAAAAAAAAAAAAAAAAAAAAAAAAAAAAGCATTACTTTGTTTCTCATGTTTTTAAGATACTTGAACTATTTTTAACTGCCAGCAGCCTTCCATACTAATAAATAAATTTATTAGTGAAATAATAAATAAATTTATAAATGAAAACCTGGCATATAATGAAGCAACATGCTTGGTCCTGTTTCTGTAAGATAAGGCTGTACTATGTAACTCAGAGAAGCCAGGACCCCACTATCAGCACTGCTCCAGGAGGTGGAAACCTTCTGGATGCTGAGATGACTGACAGGCACCCACGCCACACCCAGCAAAGGAATATATAACTACTGGGAAACCGGGGCCAGTTTCTGAATGCACATTTCTTCCTTATGAAATATATCAACACCAGACCTTTCCAGAGACTCAGGGATACTGCTAGATTCTACATGATGGATCAGCAGTAAAGTCACTGAGTTCAATTCTCAGAATCTCCTTGGTAGAAAAAGAAAACTGACTCCAAGAAAGTTGACCTCTGACCTCCACCTGTGCATGTTGGGGCACCCGTACACACACGCTCGCAAATGCACACACAAGATGATTTCTGTGTAACAGTCCTGGCTGTCCTGGAACTCACTCCATAGACCAGGCTGGCCTCAAACTCAGAATCCACCTGCTTCTGCCTTCTAAAAAAAAAAAAAAAGTTTTTTGTTTTTCTCCTACCAGTAATATACTTTTTTTCTTTCCTTTTTTCCTTTTTCTATTTCTTTAGCGTGGGGGTATACCACAACACTCCTCCAGAGATAAAGGACAGTTTGTGGGAGTCAGTTCTCTTCTTCCATCATGTGGATCCCAGGGACCAAACTCAAATTGTCAAGTTTAGCATCAAGTTCTCTACCATCTGAGCCATCTTTCCAGCCTTACAAGTAAGACTTATTATTTCCAACTATTTTGATGTATATATTATATTTAAAAACTTATCTACCTACCTATGATGCCCATGCCAGAGAAGCATTCCACCACTGAGCTATACCGGGCTTCACATCCTATATACCTTTTAAGAAATTTGGAGCACTGAAACATCTAATTTTTGTGACAAAGTGACCTAGCCTTCCATGATTCTCTCATAGTGATCAAACTCAACACACTGCACAGTGAAGAGCTCTGCTGGTGCACTACAGTGACGGAGGACAGATCAAGACAATCTCATTCCACAAAGCTGTAGCTGCCCTTATCATCACCCTCGTTTTGAAGTCCGACTCTAAAACCCTAAGACAGGCCCACCCTGTCTTTCTATGCCCCACCCTCCACATGAACTGTCAGCTTACAGGTAACCTCATGAGCAGCTCTTATTAGCAAAGGTGGAAATTATAGCTTATAAAAATGCAAATGATCAAATTTCATGTAGCAACTTATAGAAAGCAAAAGCAGCATGCACACAGAATACACCTGTGAATATTGCTAAAGTACAATTACAGAAGAAAAGGAGAACAGCCTATTACCCACCAAACGGGGTTACTAGAGGAATATGAGAGGTAAGATTGGTGGCTGAGGAATCCCAGGCAGTGATGGCCGCTAACTGTTGTCCTGGGTTGCAAAAACATTAAACGGAAGAAAATCAACCCTCTGAACATTGGAAACATTGTTTAGAACACGAAATTAAATGCAACGATAAGGTCACGTGACCATACAAAACACTAGGCAAGCATTTGAAATCTGCTCCCCGCTAAACCCGTCTCTAATAACATTTTCAAGTGACAGAAATTGAAAAAAAACTAATGTACAACAGTGAAGAATGGGGAGGAAATTTCTACCAAAAAATAGTGTTTTTCATGTTACTAAAGTATAAATAAATAATCCACAATATTAAAAAGAGTCACTAAACATAAAACTTAATTTTATTTTCAATCAAAAGAATTTTTATTTTGGAAACAGGATGTTTCTGTGTAACAGTCCTGATTGTTCTGGCACTGGCTCTGTAGACCAGGCTGGCCTGGAATTCAGAGATCCACCTGCCTCTGCCTCCCAAGTGCTGGGAATCCAGGTATGCAAAACCACCACCAGCTAGAAATTTGTTTTAAAAAGTCTGTGCTGTCATGAGCTGGGTATTCATTTAGCTACATAGGAATGAACTCTACCTTCTTCCTAAATAGATTTCATTTTCAGCTTAAGTTGTTTTATTCCATCATTGGCCTGGAGCTTCTCTTGTGAACTAGACTAGCCTGGGGCATAAAGTGATCCTCAAGGGTCTTGATATTTCCGGTATGAACCACCAACCATGACTCAAATAATATTTATTTTATTTTTGAGACAGTGTCTCACTATGCAGCACTGGCTGCCCTGGAAGTCACTAGATATACTAGGTTGGTCTTGAACACACAGAGATCAGCCTTTTTCTGCCTCCTGAATGCTAGGATTAAAAGCATACCCAATTAGGCCAGGTTTCAAGAATGATTTTTAAAATTTTTTTCCTGTCTAGCATGGTGCCATATGTCTTTAATCCTAACATTTAGAAGGCAGAGACAGAGACAGGCAAATTTCTGTGAGTTCAAGACCAGCCTGGTCTACAAAGTGAGTTCCAGGACAGCTAGGGCTACACAGAGAAACCCTGTCTCAAAAATCAACAAAACAAAACAAAAACAAACAAACAACCCACTTTAATAAAAAAGTTGTTTTTTTTTTTTTTAATTTTATGTGTATGAGTGTTTTGTCTGCATGAATGCATGCCTAGTGCCCATGGAGGTCAAAAAGTAGCACCAGATCCCCTGGAACTACAGTTATAGTAAAGAAAGCCAAAGACTTGATGATACCATATTCCTGCTGATATAAATACATATTATGTTAAATGAGAAAACATTGATTTTAAGAAATTGTGATCATAAAAAAAAATCAGTTAATAGAAGTTAAACTCTTCTTTAAAATGTGTAAAGTTGAACTGGGGATATGACTCAGTGACCGCAAAACCCTAGGTTCAATCCTGACACAGCCAAAAAAAGACATGTATGAAATATAAAGCTTGTCTAAGTTGACAAGGTCTTGCTGAGTTCCTCATCTTAACAGATGCTGGAACACTCCTGCTCCCTGAACCTAATACTCTTCTTTGGTCTAATTCCCATCCATCCACTCCTCAAGAAAGAGTGCAGGCTTCACTCTTCCTTCTGGCTGAGTTGTGGCCCCATGAGTCTCTCCAAAGACACTCAGTAGGCAGAGCACTGCTCTCTTGTCCTCCCGACTGCCTAGGAGGACCTAAGCTGAGAGTATCATATCAGGGCAGAGATAAATGCTCTGTTCACCCCGTGTCTGACACAGTGTTCCAAGTGCACTGCAGTGACCACTCCATGACTGGATGTTTGTGTGGATTAAATGAAACATACGTAAAAGGCTTACTCAGTGCCTGTTCAGCATACGTGCTCAACTTTCGCATGTGTGTAGATAGATAACACATACTAAGTGTGTAAAGCCCAGTTAAATATATATTTTTTTTAAAAAAAAAAACTTTTTTAAAGCAGGGTTTACTATAACTCAAGCTGACCAAGTACTACCCAAGGATAACCTTAAGCTTCTGATTCCCCTGCTTCCACCTCCTGTGCTGGTATTAAGGTCCTGCGCCATCATACCCAGGCTATGCAGTGCTGGAGGCTGAGCCCAGGACGTCAAAAGAACTAGGTAAATACTCTACCTAGTGGCTATACCCCACCTTTGAAAACACGGTAAACTTAAAGAAAAGCTCCAATACAGAAAACTCTCCTTACCTATAGGTAACCGGTTCTTTTTGTTGGCTGGGGTGGCTGCTGGAGACATCTGAGGAGTGCTGTAGGGGGTGACGTCTAGACTGCTGCTCTTCCCTGGCTTAGCCTGGGGCAGGCTTGCCAACAAGCTGTCAAGAGCCATTCTATCTTCCTTCAGCTCGTCTCCAGACATCACACTCTTCATAAAGTTCACCTGTAAAAGGAAAGGACATTATCTAGTGAAATGAACTGTCAAACATAATACACGCTTCTTACAAGATATATTCTTCTGTGACTTGCCAATGGGTGGCTAAAAATTTCAAAAAGATGTCAACCAGAGAATGATGCCATTACCAGAGTAATAAGCTGACTGTAACTTATATAAACCACAGTTCTGCTCAAGCCTTCCAGAAGATTAACGGAGTTCATTGGTGGAGTCTCCACTGCGCGGCCCCCAATCACGACATCAAGGAAAGCAGCGACACAGCTCTGTCAAAACAGGAAGAGATCAAAGCCAAAGTCTCCCTCAAAAGATGAGAAAAATTCTGACCAAGGTGGATAAGCATGAAAAAAATTTAACTTCATGAAAATTATTTTAAACCCAACATTTTAAAAACTGTAATTCCGTATGTAATGATGCAGAATACGCTCAAAAAAATAAAAATAAAGTACATGTAATTTACAACCTAAAATTCTGAAAAGGCAGAAGGGGAGTGGAATGGGAGACATACTAAGAATCTGCTGACACACATAGGCCTCTAGAAGAACACACAGAAGAAACACTGAACTTTCTGGAGAGGAAGTGAAGGAGAAATGAGAAGTACGGGGGAAATGGCACAGAACAGGTTTTATTTTATTTGGTTTTTCCTTTAAATGTTTTCATGTATTTATCTGGGGTGCACATGTGGAGATCAGAAGACAACCTGAGGGAGTCATGTCTCTCCTCCTGTGGGTTCTGAGGATCATACTCAGGTCATCAGGCTTGGTGTCAAGTGTCTGTACCCACTAAGCCATCTTTCTCTAACTGTTTCTTGGGTTTTGAGAGTTTTTGTTGTTGCTTTGTTTTTTTTCCAGACAGGGTTGGGAAACCCTGGCTATCCTAGAACTCATTCCATAGACCAGGCTGGGCTCAAACTCAGGGATCTACCTGCCCCTTTCTCCTGACTGAGTGCTGGAATTACAGGCGTGTGCCGCCACCACTTGACTGTTTCTTGGATTTTTTTGGTGTTGCTATTCTTGATTTTTGAGGAAAAAAATCTATTCACCATGGTGTCCCAGCTCGCCTCAAACCACAGTGATTTTCCTGCCTCTATCACTCAGGTACGGGGATTATACTACTATACTCAGTACAATATCAGTTTTTATATTTTTTTATTAATTTGTTAGGACTTTTTTGATTTTTATTTATGTTCATGTGTGTTTATACATATATGAGCATATATGTGCTGGGGACTGCAAAGGTAAGATGAGAATGCAGGATCCCCTGGGAGCTGAAATTACAGGTGGTTGTGAGCCACACAAGGTGGATGCTGAGAACTAAACTCCTGTCCTCTGAAATAGCAAGCACTCATAAATCATAACTTCTGAATAATTTCTCCAGCTCCAATATTTGAGATTTAGGCCAACTTGAACTGCTAGCCTACTCAAAATCTAATGAAATACCTTTTTTACTCAATTAACTGAACAATGCCATAAATGAAGAACATTTAAAATAATTTAATTACTGCTGATTGTTAAATTAGTAACAAATTAGTTAAAAACAAATTTTTAAAAAATAATCTAATAGGTCTTGATTCTTATTACAATGATACCCCTTCAATATTTGTAAGACAGTTTAATCATTAGAAAAATCTTCCTAAATTTAATGGTTACTGATACAATATTGTTAACTAATTTAAAAGCAAATTAATGACTGAATTATTTAACCTTCCTATCACCTAAAGACTAGATTTAATAAAGAGAATAGTTAAGTTCACTAACACTTGGCCAGAATTTTTTACAAATTATATTTTATGGGCTGGAGAGATGGCTCAGTTGTTAAGAGCACTGCCTGCTCTTCCAAAGGTCCTGAGTTCAATTCCCGGAAACCACATGGTGGCTCACAACCATTTGTAATGAGGTCTGGTGCCCTCTTCTGGCCTGCAGACATACACACAGACAGAATATTATATGCATAATGAATAAACAAATAAATAAAATAAAAATTATATTTTTATACCGTTTATTCTTGCACACAGGGTCTTTCTAAATAGCACATCTGTGTGGACCTCACAGCCATCAGCTGCCCTGCTTCCTAAGTGCAGGGATTAAAGCTATGCACAAAGTGAGGTTCTCTGTTTGTGATGAGGACTCACACTATTGTCTAAGCTAACCTTGAACTCAAGGCAATCCTCCTGCCTCAGCTGAGATTACAGGTGTGGGCTAGCATACCTGGATACCTAGCAGTCTACAAAACAGTAATTCACATAACACAACATTCATTCCTACTTTGTCAAATTTTCCAAGGCTGTTTTTGGTCCGAGGATCTCCTTCTTCGGTGCCAGTCATTGCTAACTGCTGCAGAAGGCGGCCGACCTGCAAACAAAAGCAGCGGTGAGCATGTGTGGTTACTGTCTATGAAGCACTTCCATTCCAGTCCAAGTGTCTGGTTTCATAGTAATATTCACATTCATCTCATCAGGCAAACAAAACAATGCTCCCAATAAAATGTGTATTTTGCCTATGTCAGCTTTTACCATTTTCAGATGAAGACGTAGAGGAAGTAGAAAACTTTGCTGTAATTTCTTGTTAACACATGACAGGAACCATTAGGAAATTGAAAGTACAGTATATTTACTTGATACTATACTTTTTCTGTGCTTAAAAAACATTTTAAACTAGCCAGGCAACAGAGCACACAAAGGCAGAAGCAGACAGATCTCTGAGTTTAAAGTCATCCTTGTCTACAGAGTAAGTTCCAGGACAGCCAGGGGTACACAGAGAACAAAATTAAACCTTATTATTACTGTATCTGTGAGCATTATTAAGGACAGGGGAGCACATGTATGCAACAGTGCATGTGGAGGCTGTGAGTTGGCGCTCTCCTTCTAGCATAGGTTTCAGAGATGGAATTCAAGTTGTTATACTCACACAGCACTTTCTACCCTCAGAAACACCTTGTGAACATGAGAAAAATTTTAAATAATCTGCAAACGCTAACCCATGCAATAAATGACTTCAAGGCTAACACACAGGACTTTCCCCTTACAAGTCCATGAAGAACTCAAGCACTGGGGCTGGAGAGATGGCTCAGCGATTAAGAGCACTGACTGCACTTCCAGAGGATCCGGGTTCAATTCCCAGCACCCACATGGCAGCTCACAACTGTCTGAAAATGCAGTTCCACGAGATCTGACACCTTCACACCAGTGCACATAAAATAAAGTTAAATAAATCATTAAAAACAAATTAAAAAAAAAGAACTCAAGCATTCTCTTTATAGTTTTCTGTCGGTTTTTGAGACAGGATCTATGTAGCTATGGCTGTCCTGAAACCCTCTTTGCAGATCAGGCTGGCCTCCAACTCACAAGGATCTGCTTGCCTCTGCCTCCCAAGTGTTGGGATTAAAGGTGTGCGCCATCTTGCAGGCAAGAATCAACTTATTTTAACATGTGTGTGTCTAAGTATAAGCCAAATGTGTGTGCCTGTCCATGAAAGACAGAGAAGGTGTTGGATCCCCTGGAACTAGAGTTGGTAGGCTGCCTGATGTGGGCACTGGGACGTGAACTTAGCTCTTCTGAAAAGGAACAAACACTTTTTCCTAAAGAGCCCCTCTCCAACCCCAACCAGTGATTTTTTTTTTAAAGGTTTATCAAGTCAGGCAGGGTGATATTCACCTTTAATCTCACTCAGCATTCAGGAGGCAGAGGCAGATGGATCTTTGTGAGTTCAAGGCCAGCCTGATCTACAGAGCGAGTTCCAGGATAGCCAGGGCAACACACAGAACAACCCTGTTTCCAAAAAAACAGACTGGCAGGTGAGATAGCTTTGGCTTTGGAGTTAAGACCAGTGGCTATTCTTCCAGAGGACCTAAGTTCAATTACTAGTCCTTGTATAATTCTAGTTCCAGGGGATCCAATGTTCTCTTCTGCAGACATGTGCAGATAGATATACATGCAGGCAAAAATCCCTCCTATACACACACAGACACACACAAAATAAATAAATAAATTAATTAAATAAATAGTAAGGCTTTGGATAAATCCCCCCACATAAAATAAATCAATAGTAAGACGTCATGTAAACCACCTCACATGTAAAATAAATTAATAAATAAGACTTCAGGTGTAACTTTAATAGCCGAACATGTGCTTAGCACGTGTGAGAGGTCAGAATGCAACTTTCAGTAGATGGTTCTCGTCTACTAACATGGGTTCCAGGGACAGAACTCAAGTTATCAGTCCTTCACAAGGCCTTTTACTTGCTGAGTCATCTCCTTAGCCCAGAACTCAGATCTGTAGGGGGGTATCTTACTACATATATGTACCATCTTCATAGAATGGTGTCTACTGTCACACATGAACATTTTTGGAGAAAAGCCTAATATTCCAAAGCTGAATAGCTTCCTGTTCAGCTCCAGTTGTAAGTTTCCAATCAATCTGGACTCTGAAATTGCCAGGAGAGGGATGATGGGCTTGTTCTAGAAAACCCAGTCCAAGAGTTAAAGGATTTCACTGAAAACCAAGGCAATACTATAATATCTCAAAATCCTAATATAATTGTCTTTCTATCTCATGAGAATCAAATATTTAGAACAATTTAAGAAAGAGTTCCTGAACAGCGACGACTACACAGAGAAACCCTGGTTCAAAAAAAAAAAAAAGAAGGAAATTTCCACTCTATTATATAAAGATCAGCTGATCTTAAATCAAATATTGCATTAATAATCACAAAAGCACACCTGCATCAAGTTAAATCTCGCCACCTCATTGATAGGAGCATCAGATATTATTCCATACTGCTCTGGATTGACAACTGCGGGACAAATGAAGCAAGCCAACAGAAGATCGGTGCACATGGCTCTGACTTCCCCGACCTCCAGTCTGTCTACACAAGAGAGAGTTTTGTACATCTGTGACACAATCCACCTCAGACTATGTGGAAAGCAGTAAGTGTTCTGTTTGAGATAGCCAATAAATTTGTTCACCAAAGCCACCAGTTTGGCCTCATTGGAATCCACCATCTCTTGAACCTTTTGCCTGAATCTGTCTGAGCCTTTCTCTCCAAAGAGCTTTTCCTGCTGCGCTGGGGAGAACCTCTCCGTTAGCTTGTTAGGGTCTGTTTCCAGATGGTCTTCATCTTCCACAAGGAGCTGCATGATGGGCTCGTGTAAAGTAGCCGTAAGAAAAAGTTTGGCAGAAAACAGTCCTTCAGAAAACAGTTTAAATAAGATGCTGAAGGCACAAGTTCCTCTCCTCAAAAGCCGCCTGGGGTTGTCACTTTCTTTCAGTTCAAATTCAATCAAGTATCGTAAAACCTGAAGGAGGTAGTTTTCATCTTCTTGCATAATACAGTTGCCATACAAGGAGGTAAAAACTGTGTAGATAACGCTTTGTGTGTTCTCTTGATTGAGTTTTTCTCCAGCAACCAAAGAGGAGGCAATAAGACGAGGATTTTCTCTTAACCGACTCAAGAATTCTCCATAAGCTGTTTCCTGAAATCCCAATTGCTTATATCCATCAACAAACTGTGTATCTTCCAAAATCTTGGCATGCTGGCAACACTCAGCAGGGGACGCTTCAGCACTAGAAACATTAGCACACAGGCAAGGCAATATTAATAACAACAGCAATACAACACAGACACTCAATCGGAATGACTGTCTGAGTTCATTTTTGTGCCAACAATGAACTCTTTCTGAGTTGCTGAGCTCTTTGAGAACATGGAAATAAGTAAGACACACCTAAAAGTAAAGAGGAAGCCAGTATCTTCTAACAGATTTGGTGCAGCGTCTATTTAAAAGTACTGATGACATTGTCCAGAGTGAGCCTCTATGGATTTTGCTATAGCTTAAAAACTGTTTATTTACTGAGACAAGAACATTCCTAAAAATCTGAGTACTAAAAGCCATCAAAACAGGAGCTGGAGAGGTACCTCAGCTGGAAGAGCGCTTGCCTGGCATGCACTAAGCCCTGGGCTTGATTTACAACATGGAATGCTTTTGCATGGCCTCCAGTCAATACCTCCCAGCAAAGCTAACAAAGAGCTATGATTCCAAAGATCAGTTCTGCCTTTAAAGATTTTTATAAATACAATCATACAGTATATATTCTTTTTCTATCTGACTACTTCTAACATTATACTAATATTGCTACAGTTAAAAACTGCTTCCTGGAACAATACAGAAAGCACCAGGCACACTAGTGGTACATAGATACATATGTGGGTAAAACAACTCATACACGTAAAATAAAGGTTAAAAATATAAAAAAAGAATTTCTTTAGAAAAGATACACAATTCTAAACCGGGCAGTGGTAGTGCACGCCTTCAATCCCAGCACTCAGGAGGCAGAGGCAGGCGGATCTCTGTGAGTTTGAGGCCAGCCTGGTCTACAAGAGCTAGTTCCAGGACAGGCTCCAAAGCTACAGAGAAACCCTGTCTCAAAAAAAAAAAAAAAAAAAAGATATGGGGCTGGAGAGATGGCTCAGTGGTTAAGAACATTGCCTGCTCTTCCAAAGGTCCTAAGTTCAATTCCCGGCAACCACATGGTGACTCACAACCACCTGTAAAGAGGTCTGGTGCCCTCTTCTGACCTGCAGACATGCACACAGACAGAATATTGTATACATAATAAATAAATATTAAAAATAAATAAATAAAATCTTTAAAAAAAAGATATGCAATTCTAAACCATGAAAATGTATATAAATAATATCACAAAATTAGTGTGGTATAAAATGTTAACCCTTACATTACAATTTTCTGTATCACTGTTTAAGGTAATTAATAAGCAAAATAAACTCCATGTATTTTATGACCAAAGACTTACCTAATATTGCTTTAAAACCAGGCACTTAAGAGATTGTTTTAGTTATAGTCAGTAGTACAGAATTGTTCACAAAATGCATGACCTAAAAATTTTTACTATACCTGGTTATAATAAGACGATCCAAATTAATCCTCTGTTGCTTTGCAATCCACGCCGTTCGATACAGCTTTTCAGCTGTCTTCAGCACATCTGCGTTTAGCCTCTGAATGAGCTGTTTCTCAGAGCTCACGTACAAGCGCTCCTGTTTGAGGTGGTGGGCCAGAGTGTGGATATCTAGCTTCACCATCTTTGAATTCGGAAAAGGTACAAAGGCTGATCACTAATAAAAAAGACAAAATTCAAAAGTTTTTGTCATTTTAAGTTATTTTTCTAAAACCAAAAGGAGCAGAATACATTACAACTTTGATTATGTAGGCAGGAGGCTGGAAAGATGGCTAAGTGGTTAAGAGCACTGACTGCTCTTCCAAGGACCAGGGTTCAATTTCTAGCACCCACATGGCAGCTCACACCTGTCTGTAACTCGAATTCCAGGGGACCTTGCACCTTCATACAAACATACATGTAAACAAAATACCAATGCACATAAAATTAAATCTTAAAAAAAGTCTTTAAATAAGATGTTAATTTAGTACAACCATTGACTCTAATTTAAAAATAATCCCAGCATTTGAGAGGTTGAGACAGGAATGTCAGGAGGTCAAAGTCATCCTTGGCTACCTACTGACTCTGAGGCTACATAAGACCCCATTTCAAAAAACCAACAGATTGTGATTGTAATGGGAAGGAGAACAGCCAAGGATGATTCTAGGCTGATGGACAGACACGGGCTTAGAGTAGTTAAAAGACTATTTCTGAATAAAGGCCTTATTAGGAGCTTAAAAAATAACATACTTTCCAAATTTTCTATACTGAGCCTATACTACTTCTGTCATTTAAGAAACACAGTATTTTAAAATATTGTAATTTATTTTTGCATTTACATATTGTAATGATCTGCTCTGTCCTTTTAAGAGACAAGTCACGCCCACTCACTCCCCTCCTCCACTGAGGCAAGCTGATCTTCAGCTTCCAGCCGGAGTCCCTTCTTTTCTCTCAAAGAGGCAGCTTCTGTCCTCTCCCTTCTCGCCACTTCTCCCCTTTCCCTTTCCCCTTCTGTTTCTCTCTCTCTTCTCCCCTCTCCCCTCCATAACCCACTAAATAAATATCCAATCTCACTCTGCCTGGTAGCCTTTACCACCTGGGCCATCTCACTGGACTACGAAAAAAGTGTGTGTATGCCCATGTGTGTAAGCCTGCACATGTACATCATACACATATGCCAGACAAGGGCATTGGGTGTTCTTCATAATTCACTGCCTTTTTCTATTTTTTTGTTTTTGCTTTTTTTTGTTTGTTTGTTTTTGTTTTTCAAACTGGGTTTCTTTGGAACCTGTCCTGGAACTCACTCTATAGACCAGGCTGGACTCGAACTCAGAGATCTGCCTGTTTCTGCCTCCCGAGTGCTGGGATTAAAGGCATGCGCAGCCTCTGCCTGGCTCTCTACCTATTTCTTTAAGGCAGGGTCTTTACCAGAACCTGGAGGAGATCAAGTAGTCTCAACACCCAGAGTAGGGGTCACAGGCATGCACCAGATACTGGACTTGTTAACTAGATGCTGGGATCTGAATTCCTGTTCTGATATTCCTCAACAAACATTCTTAACTACTGAGCCATCTATCCAGCTTACATATATATTTTGGAAATACTGTCTCACATAGGCCACACTAGCTTTGAATTCTTTTTGTACCTAAAGATACTTTTGAGCTCCTGTTCATCCTGACTCTATCTCCCAAGCTGGGGTTACAGGGATGAGCCAACATGCCCCCATTTACGTGTACTGGGGGTTGAACCCAGGGTCTGTGCATGCTAGGCAAGTACTCTACCATCTGAGGTACATTCTCAGCCCTTTTGCTGGTTTTCTGAGACAGTCTCCTATAGTCCAGGCAAGCCTTAAATTCACCTTGTAGCTGAGAATAACCTGGACCTCCTGATCCTCCTGTCTTAGTCTCCCAAGACCTGAAATTAAGGTATGCACCTGCACACCTAGTGGGTTATTTCTTATCCACTGAGCCATCTCTCCAGCCCCTAGTGGGTTATTTCTGAATTAGAATTAACAAAATCAAATACACTCTGAATCTGTGTAGGGATGAACCACTGCTCACTAGCAGTGGAGTCATCCTTGACTACTTCCACAGAGCAATAAGCCTGTTGATTCTGTCTTCCTCCTCCCCTGGGAATCTGTCAGCACCTCACCTGAAAGAAAGCCTATAACTAGCTGATTTCCTTGCTCCCCAAAGTCTGTCCTCCTAGTAACACTAAGGGTACCTTAAAGTCACATCATTTTATTCTTTGACTAGAAACTATCCCAAGGCTTTACCTTATACTCAGAATGAAATCTAAAGTCCCACGTAGTCTTCCCTATCTACAACTTTGACCCTCCAGGCCCTACCACAGCATTTACCACAGATACCTACTTGCTTATTAGCCATCTTTATTGGGGGCTTCCACCTCTCTATGCCAGAACTTTTCTGTGTTGTTCACTACTCTAATCTCAGGCCTGGGTGAGGGCCTAGTTCACAGTAGCAACTGAATAAATATTTTCCAAAGGTGTGAATGAATCAAACTATTCTTATTTATCTAATAACTAAACAGTTACAAATAGTACACATATTTTAAATCATTATTTAAGCTATATCCTTGAACTGCCAAACCACAAATGTTTTATATTAATAATAGAAATACCTACATTTAAGATAACAAAACAAGCTGGGCAGTAGTGGCACACACCTTTAATCCCAGCAGCAGAAGCATATGGATCTCTGCGTGAAGCCAGCCTGGTTTACAGAGTGAGTTCCAGGACAGCTAGGGTTACACACAGAACACAGAAACCCTATCTCGAAAAAACAAACCAAAAAACAAAAAAATAAAAAACAACCAACCAAAATTTTAAGAGCAATTATTGTGAGGTAAGGACTACTGCTCAGTGGTAGAGAACTGTCTAACCTGCTAGAGGCACTGGCTTCAATCCTCAGCACTAAAACCCAAAAAATGACAATTAAGGAAATGAATGAGGTTTTTTGTTGTAGTCCTGGCTGTCTTGGAACTCACTCTGTAGACCAGGCTGTCCTTGAACACAGAGATCCTGTCTCTGTCTCCCAGAGTACTGGAGTTAAAGGTATGTGCCAACATCTCCCAGCTTTGTTTTTTTTGTTTTTGTTTCTTGTTTTTTTTTTTGTTGTTGTTGTTGTTGTTACTTAGACTTTCAATGCCAAGAATAATCTTAGTTTTTCCTCACTGCACTGCACCCCCAAGCCGGTGGCAGGTGTGTTCTGCCAGCCTCATCTGACAGTTCAGGAAGTGTTGGACTCTGCTGTATGGTTCAGGTCTCTGACTCCCAAGAAGCACTGTTCTCAGTCATCTAATCTCAACATTTGTTAGTCATGTCCACTTTGATTTCTTAGTTGTGCTTTGTGCTAAGGATTTTTTTAATCTGCTGGTTTTATAGAATATTATTTGACTTCTAGCAGTATCTACTTAGTTTAAAGTCAAACAGAAATTCTACATAAACTGGGAAGGCTATAGAGAAAATAAAGTCTTTGCATACTGCTGGTGGAAATTTAATTTTGTGTCATCACTATGGACAGCAACAATATTATTCTCCAAAATTTTAAAAAAGAATTACCTCATGACCTAGTGGCCCCACTACTGGTTATCTACAAAGGACCTGGAGTCAGTCTGTGAAAAAGCAGCTGCACTGTTCACTGCACCAGCCACTGTCTGGAGCCACTACTCCAAGTGCCCATCAACAGACAATGAATAGCGAGCTGGTTCTCTGTGGACTACAGGTCTTCAACTCAAGTCACCAGGCCTGGCAGCAGGCAGCTTGACCCTCTGAGCCATCTTGTTAGTCCTAACGACATGGCTTTAGAGACTTCTTTATTTTGTTTTGTTTTTGAAATAGGGTTTTTCTGTAGCTTTGCAGACTGTCCTGGAACTCACTCTATAGAACAAGCTGGCCTTGAACTCACAGAGACCTGCCTCTGCCTCCCAAATGCTGGGATTAAAAGCATGAACCACCACTGCCCATCTTTAGTGATCATTTTAATAAATTTAGGCCAAGCTGGGTGTGGTGGTGCATGCCTATAATCCCTGCACTCAGGAGGCAGAGGCAGGCAGATCTCTGTGAGTTCAAGACCAGACTGGTCTATAGAGCTAATTCCAAAACTGGCTTCATAGCTACTGAGAAACCCTGCCTCGAAAATAAATAAATAAGCAATCTTAGGCCACAGGCAAGCTTGCTAAGCATTTTACTTTAAACAGAATTATAATAATTCTATAATAAACTAGTCAGAATGTCATTTAAAAAATCTGACCACAGCTTATCCTGCAAAACAAAATTTTAAGAACTATTATTGGGACTAAGGAGTATAGGTTTTGTGTGTGTGTGTGTGTTGTAATATTATTTGGCATATATAATATAAATGGAATATTATTTGGCCAAAAAAAAGGAAGGGAGAAAAGGAAAATTCTTACACATGCAACACGGATGGAACTAAAGATCATTATGTTAAATGAACAATCCAGCCCCAGGAAAACCAACTACTGCGTGAACTCACTCACATGCTGGTGCAGAAAGGCTGACCTCACAGAAGCAGAGTCTGAGGTAGTAAGGACAGGAGGAATTAGGAAATATTTCAGTTAGAAGAAAAAAACAAAAGATCTATTCTATAAGCATAGTAACTATAGTTAATGACAATATGTTGAATGTATTCCTCATCCCTTCATACTACCCTCTGGGATAGGCTTTCCTACAGACCAGGCTGCCTCAATGTAGCCTCACGATGTAGGTGAAAATAACCACCACACTGACACAATACACACACAGTATATAAAGATGTTCATATTTGTTAATTGTCTTGATTTCTTAGAGCATATTTCCAAACCCATTAACTTAAAATTCAAAATCAGTCTACCTCAGCCTACCCATCCAAGTCTATTTTACACTGTTACATTAAATTTTTTTATGTATAGTGCTTATACAAGTGTGTGTTCATAGTACATGCATACACCATGGTGCACGTGTGGAAGGAAGAGGACAACTTTTAGGACCTGGTTCTCTTCCCACTGTAGTATCCAGAGACGAAACTCAGGTCACGGGCAGAGGCAGGTGGATCTCTGATCCACAGAGCTAGTTCCAGGATAGCCAGAGCTACAGAGAGAAACCTTGTATCAAAAAACAAAACAAAACAAAAAAGGGAAAAGAAGAAAGAAAAGAGCTCAGGTGACATCAAAGAACTGGTACCATTCGGGCATGGTGGTGTACACCAGCAAGTCTAGCATAAAGTCACAAGCAGGATCACTGCACATTCTAGGACAGCCGGGACTACTGTGAGTTTCTGGCCAGCAAAAGCTACAAAAAGACCTGTCTCAAATAACAGTAGTATAATATACTTAACAATGTTGTAAGAGTCAGGGTTTAGCCAAGAAAAACTATCACAAATATATATTGCTCCTAAACTTTGCATGCATTTTCAATATTAGTTAATTTCATTTTGAAAGGGTCAAAAACTAACTCTAACCACTTAAGTTCACTACTTAACCACTTTTCTACAAAAATTATATATACACAATACACACACACATACTATATGCTACCCATTCATATTAAATCAGACTTTGAGGATTAATTTAAGCCGGCTAGGAATGACACAGGCTGTTACAGCATCATTCCACAATGGTATGCGGAAGTGACAGGCCAACTATGGCTTGCAAATCAAAGTTAGCCTGCTGTTTGTTTGTATTCATAAAGGTTGGTCTGGAGGTTTTGTTTCTGAGATCTTTTTTTACAAAGTTAAATTTGTTTTTGACAATTTCATACATGTATATAATTCAATAATCACTCTTCCCTGCCACTATTACCCTCTCATCCCCATTAACTACCTCTCCCTCCCCCATTAGTTCCTTTGTCAGATTAATGACTTTTGATTTTATGACCCATTTAACTTAATAAAGATTTTAAAAATTTATTTATGCCTGGCATGGTGGCACATACCTTTATTTCTAGCACTCAGGAGGTAGAGGCAGGTAAGTTCAAGACCAGTTTGGTGTACATAGAACATTCCAGGTCAGCCAATTAGGGAAACATCTCAAATTTATCATCAGCAGCAGCAGGATCATCACCATCATCATCAATGTATTGGCAGTCTGGCACATGCCACAGTGTCCACAGAGGATCAGAGAGCAATTCTGTGCAGTCAGTTTTTTCCTTTCACCTTTATGGAAATTTCAAAGACCAAACTCATGTTGCCAGATTTGCAAGGCAAGCAACTTTACCTACCTCAGACTTCTAAAACTTTTAAAGATTTATTTTAACTTTGTGTGAGTGTGTGCATGTGAGTGCAGGTGCCCACAGAGGCCAGGAGAGGGCAGTGGGTCTCCTGAAGCTGGAATCACAAGTGGTTGTTAGTCACCTGACACGGGTTTGGGGAATCAAACTCAGGCCTTCTGCAAGAGCAGCACATGCCATTGAGGTTTTATGGAACACAGCTATGTCCATCTATGGACATCTATGTCCATGTCTGTAACTGTTTTCATGGTGAAATGGCAGGGGGAATAGTAGCCAGTCTTCTATAGCTCATTTGGCCTCTACATAAAGATTGCCAACCTCTAACAAGCAGGTTTATTTCCCCTAAGGAAGAGTATGGAACAACCTAATGAGGGTCAATTTTTGAGCTAAAAATATATCAGAACTTTCAAGAAGAATACATTTGTACAAGTGTCAACAGCTAATAGGACATAGCGACAGACAATTGCAATCCCAGCACTTTGGGAGATGAAGGTAGGAAGATCAAAAATTCAAGGCCATCCTCAAATAATACAAGTTTGAGAACAATGTGAGCTATATAAGGGTGCTTCTCAAAAAGAAGAAGTATTCCAAAATGTATATGGGATAGGAATAATATTTCACACCTTATGAGAATCTCTACTTAAAAGCATCCTAATTTAATAATGATGTAACTACTAATTTTAAATTTCAACATAGCATTTAGAGTTCAAGTAAACAGCTTAACATCCAGCTTAATCTTAGGTTCCCTCTCCCTCTTTCTGAGGGACTGGGTCTGCACATGCAACCCTGTTGTCGACATCTGCAATACAGAAGCCTCCTTGTAACTTCTATTGTACTAGAGGTCACAAATTACCTTGCACTCGCTAGGTACTCCACCACTAAACTGCAACCTTGGCCCAAATAATTACCCTTTATTAACATTAAGAGAGTGAACATGAAACCACATCCAACTTATTATCTAATTTAGAGGATGCTTTAGTCAATAACACAGAGGGGAAACTAAAACTGGAGTAGATCTGAGGAACTTAAGACTGGCCCTTACCCATATAACCTTTAAGCCCTGCACTCAGGAGACAGAGGCAGGTCAACCTGAGTTTGCAGCCAGCCTGGACTACAAAGTGAGTGCAAGGCCAGCCAGGACCCTGTCACAAAAGCAAACAAAATCCATGATGATCTCCGACACCTACTGGTCATGTGACCAGTGACTGATCACTAAATTTAGGAATGATATCCTTATTTGTCCACACAGAAAACAATTTAAGAGAACTGTAAGTCCTAAAACTGAAAACCAGGTGGTGGTGGCGCACGCCTTTAATCCTAGCACTCAGGAGGCAGAGGCACGCAGATCTCTATGTAGTCGAGGCCAGCCTGGTCTACAACAGCTAGTTCCATGAAATCCTGTCTCTTAAAAAAAATGTTTCAACTAAAAATTACACACTGATAATTGAATGCAATGAGTATGCTAGAAGAGAATGAGGACATAGTATGTTAGAAGAAAAAAATGAGAAAAACTGAATAAACTATGAACTTGGTTATAACAGTCTATCAACACTGTTCACTAATTGTATTAAGTATTGCAGACTAGTGTAAAATGGTAGGACGTAGGAAAACTTGATACAGGGTCTATGAGAACTTTGCATTTTTGGGGGGGGTATTGTTTGTTTCTTGAGACAGGGTTTCTCTGTGTAGCCCTGGATATCATGGAACTCACTTTGCAGACGAGGCTGGCTTCTAACTCTCAGAAATCCACCTGCCTATGCCTCCCAAGTGCATATGTCATATGCACATATGGCAGACTTTTTAATTACATAGATAATATGCTTCTAAATTCAAATATTCAGATCAATAAAATCATATAAACTTGAAAAACGTATTAACACAGCAATGTATCCCAGTCTCTATCAACTACTACTCAGAAAAGGCACCAACAACCTATGATATTCTAGACCAGACCAACATTCTGTGACATACGGTGTTATACTAGGTTTTTCTTAATTTTGCTGTGATTAAAAAAATAATTACAGGACTGGAGAAATGGCTCAGCAGTTAAGAGCATTGGTTACTCTTCCAGAAGTCCTGAGTTCAAGTCCCAGCAACCACATGATGGCTCACAACCATCTGTAATGAGATCTGGCACCTTCTTTTGGTGTGCAGGTATACGTGCACACAGAACACTGTATATATGCACAATAAATAAGTCTTTTAAAAAATAAAATACAGAATTTCATTACACAAATTTCCAGAGATCTTATATTTTGCACTAATTTCATATGTGGAGTGAGGTAAATATTTCCTAGGTAAAACTATTTAAGAAAACTAGGTTTTCAGGGTTGACTGAATCTATGGTCTCCCACATGACAAGCAAGCACTATCACTGGGCAATATACTCCCTGAAAAGCCGCCGGCTTTTTGTTTGTTTGTTTGGTTGGTTGGTTGGTTTTTGGCTTTTCTGAGTCAGGGTTTTATTTGTGTAACAGACTTGACTGTCCTGGTACTAGCTCTGTAGCTAGCCACAAACTCAGAGATCCTCCAGCCCTCTCTCTGGTTTTTCAAGACTTAATCCTTCAAGAGTCACAAAAATGGGACTAGAGACATGGCTCAGAAGTTAAGAGCACTGGCTGCTCTTCCAGAGATCCTGAGTTCAATTCCCAGCAACCACATGGTGGCTCACAACCATCTGTATGAGATCTGGCACCCTCCTCTGGCATGCAGGCATACATGGAGGCAGAATATTGTGTACATAATAAATCAATCTTTAAAAAAAAAAAAACCCTATTGAAATAACCAGGGTCTTGGCAAGGGATGCACCTTAGTAGCAGAATGCTTGTCTGGACTGAACATATTAAAAAGTAGTAGCCAGCATTTAAGAGAACTTGTTAATCTTGCAGAGGATCCTGGTTCGAGTCCTAGCACCCACATATAACTCCAGTTCCAGGGAATCCAACCCCCTTTTCTGACCTACACAGGCACCAACACAGGCACATGATACTCATACACACATGCAGCAAAACATCCACACACATAAAAAACAAAAAAGGACAGCAGTCAATGGCTTACACCTGTTAATTCCTGCCAGGACTTGGGAAGCTGACAGATGAGCGCTCAAGGCCAGCCTGGGTTAGGCAGTGAGTTAGCCAGCTGGGCTACAGTAGGACAATGTGTCTACCTGGAGAGTGACAGAGACGTGAAGGAGAACAGTTTCAACTGACTAGTGATAGCAAGCACACAGGTGCTTAGGAATACATAATGATCACATCTCAAGCTTGCAATACATGGAACACTATGACTTCCTGTTTGTTTTAGTTTTGGCACTGGAAGCTAAACCTGAAGCCGAATGCATACTAAGTATGTTCTCTACCAACACTTCTAATCCAGAAGTGTTTTTTTTTTCCTTTATTGGTTAACATTTATTGTCTTGGGTGGGAGAATGTCACACATGTGGAAATCAGAAGTCAGAGGACAGCCTTGGGAGTCTGTGCTCTCCCTATACCATGTGGGTTCTGGGATGGAGAACTCAAGTCCTCAGTATTGGTGACAAGCACCTTTACCCTCAGATACATCTATAAGTATTCCTTATTCCTTATTCTTTCTTTCTTTTTTTTTTTGTCACTATGTAACCCAGACTGGTCTGGAATTCACTATGTAGACCAGGCTGACCTTGAACTCAAGAGATCCGTCGCCTCTGCTTAAATTCTGGAATTAACAGTGTGCACTACCACACCTAATGATGTGGAAGTATTCTTTTTTTTTTTTTAAAGATTTATTTATTATGTATATAGTGTTCTGCCTGCAGCCCAGAAGAGGGCACCAGATCTCATTACAAATGGTTGTGAGTCATCATGTAGTTGCTGGGAATTGAACTCAGGACCACTGGAAGAGCAGCCAGTGCTCTCAACCTCTGAGCCATCTTTCCTGCCTGTTATATATTCTTAATTACAACATAGAGCTATAAACAATTTAATTACCCAAGGTTAAATTAGTTAACATGTAAAGTTGAGACTATAATCTAGTTTTATAATTCCGATTTCCACAGTAATACATAAATAATCAAAATCAATCTCTCTCTCTCTCTGTCTGTCTCTGTCTCTGTCTCTGTCTCTGTCTCTCTCTCTGTTTTTAACCACCAAGCCATTCACTGTCTCCCAACTACGAGTGCTTTAATTTATGGTCAAGGTTATCACTTACAGCTGCCCCACTCGTAGAGGATGGAAGAGAAGAGGCTAAGAAAGAGCAAAGGGATTGAGTGTGACCATCATACATTAAAAGCATGTAAGAAACTGCCAAAGAATGAATTAATTAAATGTAAGTAAATTATGGCCACACTCTTGAACAAGTACTTACATGTAAATCAGAGTGCAGACATTGTCAAGTTCTCTTGGGAAGCTTCCCACTATCTGGCAAGGTAAGTTTTAGTTGGACTTCAGGACTATATAAAGAATCTCAACTCCTTCAAATTCTAAGGAGGAAGTGATAGAGAAATAGATCAGCAATTGAGAGTACTGACTGCTCTTCCAGAGGACCTGGGTCCAATTCTTGGCACCCATATGCTGTTCACAATTGTCTGTGACATCAGTTCCAGGGAACCTGACACTCATGACAAGCACACATACAGGTAAAAACACCAATGCACATAAAATGCAATAAATAATTTTTTAATTAGAAAAAAACTGCTAGGAATTAACCCAGAATATAACCAAAAAGCCAGGCCATGAATGCTTTTAATCCCGGTATGGTGCTTGTTGTTCTCTTGGAAGAACATTCACTAGCTCACAACTGCCTTGTACTCCAACCCCAGGAAGACTGGTGCCCTCTGCCAGCCTCCTCAGGCTTGTACGCCAAGATCACACATGCACACACACATATGCATGCACACAAACACACTTAAAAATTAAATAAGGGGGCGGCTGGAGAGATGGCTCAGAGGTTAAGAGCACTGGCTATTCTTCTAGAGGACCTGGGTTCAATTCCTAGCACCCACATGTCAGCTCACAACCATCTATAACTCAAGTTCCAGTGGAACCTGCTCCCTCAAACACCAATGCATATAAAAATAAAAAATAAAGTAAATAAGGAGCTGAAGAGATGGCTCACTGGTTAAGAGCATTGGCTGCTCATTCAGAGGACCCAGGTTCAGTTCCAAACGGAAGCTCACTGCTGTCTGTAACTCCAGTCCCAGGGAATCTGACACCTTCTTCTGGTCTTCCATGACACAATACACACTTGTCACAGACATACCTGCAAGCAAATCACCCATACACATAAAATAAAAATAAATAAAAAAAAATTTTTTTTAAAAAAGAGGGCTGAAAAGATGTCTCAGAGGTTAAAATCACTGACTGCTCTTTCAGAGGACCAGGGTTCAGTTCCCAGCACCCATATGGCAGGTCACACTGTCTGTAACTCCAGTTTCAGGGCATCTGACACCTTTACACCAGTGCACATAAAATAAAGTTAAATAAATTATTTTCAAAAGGAAAAGCAGTAGCCTACAAGCTATAATTTACCACATTTTTCATTTCTTTATTATTGTTTTTAAGGCAATCTTTTTATTTATTTATTTATTTATTATGTATACAATATTCTGTCTGTGTGTATGTCTGCAGCCAGAAGAGGGCACCAGACCTCTTTACAGATGGTTGTGAGCCACCATGTGGTTGCTGTGAATTGAACTCAGGACCTTTGGAAGAGCAGGCAATGCTCTTAACCACTGAGCCATCTCTCCAGCCCTAAGGCAATCTTATATAGCCTAAGATAGCTTCAAATTCATTATGCAGTCAAGGATGACCTGAACTTCTGTCTCTACTTCCCAAGTACTGAGATTCCAAGTGTATACTACAACACCTGGACAGTTTATAAAATGTTGGGGTTAAAGCCAACATCATAGATCTTACACAAGCACTCTAACTACTGAGGCACAGCTCCAAGCTGGAATGTTGATATTATAATAATCACAAGTACTCACCACAAACATCAATCAGCATTACTAGCACTGTAATGCCCAGCATCCACCTTTGGAAGCCCCTCCCCCTGGGAGTTGCCTTGGTCCAACTCCACTCCAGGAAAGCCCGCCAAATGCTGACCCCTCCCCATGGAGGGTTCGGACAACTCCCACAGGCTATTTAGGCTTACTCCCGAAAAAGGAACACGTGGTCTCGGGGTTTGTGTGGACTCTCCCTCCCTCTGTCTCTCCCCCATGCTCCCGTGCCACTCGGAAGCACTACATTGATTAAACGTGGGCATCTTTGATTTGGTCTAATCTGGTTTGATTGAAATCATTTGCGTCGGTGGAGGGACTCTTCTTAACAATCACGACTATGTTTCTACCCAAAAAAATGTCTTGGCCTAAAAGTCAGTTGTCACCAGGTAGTGAAGGCACACAGCTTTAATCCCAGCACTCAAGAGGCAGAAGCAGGAGGATCTCTGAGAGTTCAAAGCCAGTGTGGTTTACAAAGCAAGTTCCAGGACAGCTAAGGCTGTTACACAGAGAAAGCTTGTCTCAGGAAAAACAAAAAACAAACAAACAAAAAAATCAGTTATAGGAGTGTAGTGATGTGGAATGTCCTTCTGTATGCTGTGAATATGTGTTGCTTTTATCTGTTATTGAATAAAGCTGCTTTGGCCCATGGCAGGGCAGAATATAGCTAGGCAGGAAACCCAAGCAGAGATACAGGGAGAAGGGAGTTGAGGGGAGGTGCCAATAGTCACTGGAGAAGATGGCAGAGCATTACAGGCAAGCCACAGGGCACATGGTGGTATACAATTTATTAGAAATAGGTTAATTCATATGTAGAGCTCGCCAGCAAGAAGCCTGAGCTGATCAAACATTTATAATTAATATTAAGCCTCCAAAGATCACTGCATTAAGCAGCTGTGGGGACTGACAGAGGGAGAGAAACTGGTCCAGTGGGACTGGCTGGGACAGAGAAAGACTTCCAGCTATGCTATCGAGTGGGGGCTGGCACAGCATGCTTAATACAGAGGGTAGCTTTCTTGAGCCGGTTCTTTCCTTCCACTTTCACATTGGCTCCAGGAACTGAACTCAGGTCAACCGGCTTTCACAGCAGGCACTCTTTTCTACAGAGTCAGCGCCTTGGCTCTAAAATACCTCTTCAAAAGATCCCAACCAGTAAAATGCCCTCATTTAAAAAAAAAAAAAAAAAAAAAACTCATTGGATCTGGAGAAATGGCTCAGGAAGTAAAAGTACTTGCTGCTTTTGCAAAGACCTGGGATAAGTTCCCAGCACCCACATGGTGGCTCAAAACTGTTAACTCCAGTTCCAGGATCTCAGATGCCCTCCTCTGATCTCCTTGGGTACCATGCACTTATGCAGTGCATAAACATACACACAGGCAAACGACTCATACATATAAAATAAAAATAAATAAACCTTTAAAAACAAAATTAAAATTCCATAAAAATGGAATTCATACTTCTGCAATACTTTATATAATACCCAAAAAAAAAAAATCTCGATAAGTTTTTAGCTCTTACTATCACTGCTAATTATTTTATGTTTTAAAATGATGGAACAGCCGGGCGGTGGTGGCGCACGCCTTTAATCCCAGCACTCCAGGAGGCAGAAGCAGGTGGATCTCTGTGAGTTCGAGACCAGCCTGGTCTACAGAGCTAGTGCCAGGACAGGCTCCAAAGCCACAGAGAAACCCTGTCTCGAAAAACCAAAAAATAA